GGAGGCATTCTACCTCTCAAAGGACCTCTCTTCTTACCCCCACTCACTCAAACACCACATGGACATTGTCCAGAATAATTGAACATATTTCTTAAGTGCCTTCTGGATAGCAATCTGAAAATCTGATCCATTCAACCAGTGGACCAAATTTTCAGCTACCATATTTGTTGCCACATTCTGAAAATTGGTACTGATATATTCTTTTCACTGTTCCTTTCAGTCTCTATTCATGAACAGGCCACAGTGGCGCCCTACTCCTAGACTTCCCAGGTTATAGCTCTCTAGTTTGAAAACTAAGTAAATGAGTGAGTGAGTCTTCTCAAAGCACACTCATTGTGCCCTGTTGTAAGATCTGGGGCAGTTCCAGTTCCAGACATAGCCACAAAGCTAACTCAGAACCAGATTTCCCCTAAGACCATTGGTAACAAGCCAGATTCCCCAGTCTAAACTCATCTTGCCCTCCCTCAATAAGAGCTACCTCTAACTATCCAAGAAGTACTTATTCATGAGGTACTTTAAGAGAGGAGTGAAAGATATGTATACATTATCTTCCAATAGCCACCTTGGTCTCCAGGGAGTCACTTACTTCCTCTTAAGCAACCTTTGATCTCTACATATTAAAAGGTATTAAAAGAATTGGCCTTCATAGAGCCATTTTAAAAGTCCTGCTATACAATACCCCAAGAGCAGTGGATGGCTACTTACCCTGTATTTATTTACTTAAGAAGAGCCACAGAGTCTTCCCAGAGCAAAGTTTGATCTACCGACGCAGAAAGATGGGAGGCCATGTTTAAACGGCAGCTCCTCTTCCATCCACATCCAAATTTCAACCTGGGTGCCCCATTTAAGCATGGATCTTGTCGCCCTAGAAATAGATCCTACAAATCTAAATGCATATATATTAAAGATCTAAACTACAATAGGGACTCTATTGTTTGGGTGGGGGCCCATCCTGTCTCTTTGTTGAGTGACATAAACACATGTACTAAAGATATGTTTGGATGTTCACTACTGCATGGTTAAAAATAGGAAACTTTCTGAAAACATGGCATTTATCAACAAAGGAATGGCACATTAAATTATGCTATATCCATGATAGAATACTATGCAGCTTTTAAAAAAATAAAGCACATCTATTCTTTGCGGGAAAAATGTGGATATGATGTATTATTTCTAGAACAATAACCAAAACAGTGAACAGAGATTATTTCTAGGTAGACAGGCTGCATTGAAGGGACAGAGGAATGGCCATATGGAGTACTATGGATACAGACTTTGCTTTTCTCTCTATATCCTTCTAAACTACTTCAATGTTTTACAAAGAACTTGTGCTATTTTTAATTATAGAATATGTATGATTATAACTTAAAATTATTAAAATATGTATAATTGCAAATTAGTTTAACTATATAATTTAACTAGATATAACTTAAAATAATTTAACTTAATATTTATAATCTTGAATGTTTTAATGTAAGGAGAAAAAAATGTTTCTTTTCTCCTCTAGGATTATAAGGAAACTAAAAAACATTGTGCTAGGGATAAAAAGATAAATATTATCAAACCTAGAACGATGACCAGATGGTGGGGGGACCTAGAAACTATAAATAAAGTAAGAAATGAATGCAGATGTTTTGAATGTCTATCTTGGGCAAAAGATAGAGCTATCTTCAAATATGTAAAGCAGGGGAATTCCGTTTTCAACTAATGGAGGACTGGATGATTGGGACCAATCCTACACAGAGGGAAACTAGCAACACTGAACAAAATGTGAAAAGACATCTTCCTGAAGGCATCACAGAGCTAACAAAGCCATGAAGATGTAATGCTCTTGGGACCAGGGGAGCACAGAGGCCCCTATAAAATATGTGGGCGTAGCTCATCGTTGCACTTCATTCACTATGAAACAGTGCCACTCATGTGTTCTGTAAACCCACATATTGTGTATTTTACAAGAAGAATTTCAGGTGGGAAAGGCAAACCCAAACCTAGAGTTAAATGTCTATTTAAATGACTACAAACCGTGATAGAAGTGGTTTAATGGAATCAAGGGGACTGATTCCCTGCCCCCCACCCCCTTCCCCCAGGGGATGGTACCACAACCAGAACTCAGTGTTGATCTCTTCTTTTAAAGACTGGGCATCCTGGCTGCAGCCAGGTCACTTTCAGTGAGGGAAATCCTCTGCTTCTGAGTCTATGGATAACCTTCCTCTTTACCAATGGAAAGAGACAGTGAGGCTCTTAATAGAGTGCCTCTCAATTTAACCAGGTTAGAAAATGTATTCCAGAAAACCAAGAACCAATTCAAAACCCATCCTTAAGACTGTTTCTCTAGAATCACTTCTGACGCCAAAATCTGTATCAGTCAGGGTTCAACCAGAGAAACAGAACCAGTAGCGGATACATATGAAGGGGTTTATTGGAAGAAAATGGCTTATACAATTGTGGGGGCTGGCTAAGCAAGTCCAAAATCCATAGGGTAGGCCATCAGGAAGAGTAGGAGCTAACTCTTCAGCAGAAGGCACCATCCACAGGCAGAATCTCTTCCAGGAAATGTTAGTTCTGCTCCCAAGGCCTTCAATTGACTGCATCAGGCTACCCAAATCATCAAGGATGATTTCCTTTACTTAAAGTCAACTGATTATGCACATTAATCACATCTACAAAATGCCTTCACTAAAATTCCTGGAATAGTTTGAATAACGGGACTATAACCTAGCCAAGTTGACACATAAAACTTACGTTACTTCTATTAAATCAAAAACTTGAGGGGGTGGGGGTAGTGCCAAGCCATCTATATTAAAAACCCTTTAGTGATTGTGATGCTCCTCCAAGTTTGAGAACCACTGGTTTAGAGACCAAATCAATAGGGAATAGATGTTGGGAGTCAACCACAATGTTTTATTACAATTAGCCAGTATCTGTTGCTGAGAATTAGAGACTTAGGAGATTCTCCATACATGAGGTTCTTCATAACAAACAAAATGACTAATAAATTGGGCAGAAAAGGAATTTATCAACATATGTATCAGAGTTCACAGAATTGATGGGAAGGCTGGAAAACCAGGCTTAGGAAAAGGCAGGTTTTCAGGCATGGGCACCCCAGGGACCACACACCCAGCCAAAACATACCACAGCCACTGTCCACTTCAAATGTCTCCCTAGGGACTGACACAGGAAATAATCTCTTAATTGTCCTCAGGCCTTTGTGCCACTACCTCCAAAGACCTGGAGGAAGCCTCTAATTGACTAAATTAGTCATGTGACCATGCCCTAGCTGCAAGGGGCAGGAAGAAATAATATTTGACCCTTTTCCCTAAAAAGCTCAGAGCAGTAAGAAAGACCTGCACTGAAAAGATACAGTGCAATGTAGCAAGTACTATAGTAAAAGTGTGTACCATGTTATGGAAGAGCAATAGATAAATTTAAGCCAGTCTTAGAGGACAGGGGTCAGAATGGAAGAAATCAAGGAGCTTGAGGTAAAGCATGCCCAGAACTAGAGAAATATGACTCACTGGTTAAAATATCAGAAATCCCACACTAGCATTTAAAAAATTCTCCTGAGCCCTCTTGTGAGTAAAACTGGAAAGCTTATCATCTCCAGCTCCCTTTCAACTCTTTCTCTTTTTCATGCCCTACCAACCAGGCACACCAAGCTCCCAACTGAAGGACCCCACTTCCCCTTGGTACCAACCCCTATACGGGCCAGTCCTACTGTCCTTTATTCTCTGAGTCTTAGATTTGAAGGTGATACCTCAGAAACTTTTCCATAAATAACAAGTATAAACAGAACAGGTAGAGGACTGGGGGGGGGAGGGGGAGTGAGGAGAGGATCTTAAGCCCATCACACTCAGCTTCTTTTCTTTTCCCTCTAGGCAGCTTCTGAAACAACCTGAAAGAACACCCCTAGGGCTCCTGAGAGTGGTCTGAATGCCACCAGTTTAACTCTATATTCACTCATTATTTTCTTACGATGCCAATGATCTAAAATAATGTGCTCAAAAACAGAAATCTGAGCAGTTATAAGAACAGCAAATTTAATATACAGATCACTATAATCAGCCCAACCTATAGCAGTTCTAAATTAACAATATTTTTTCACTTTGCCCTCCAAGTGAAACATACTCACTCAATGCAAGATTATCAATTCCAGCCCGGATGGCGTGGCTCAGCAGTTTAGCATCGACCTAGGATCCAAGAGATCGAGGTTCGATTCCCAGTCAAGGCACACACCAAGGTTGTGGGCTTGATCCCTAGCCGATCAATGACTCTCTCTCATCATTGATGTTTCTATCTTTCTCTCCCTCTCCCTTCCTCTCTCTGAAATCAATAAAAACATATATTTAAAAAAAGATCAATTCCTGTAGCAAAAATAAATTTTCTACCAAGTCTTACTGATGACAATAGTTCTATTCACAGTACTCTTTCAACTACTCCCTAAATCATTTTATCTTTTTATGAGTTTTTTATCTTTATTGTTACAAGTATAAGAGATATCCCCCCCATTAACTCCCTCTACCTGGCTCCTGCCCCCTTCCCAGGCCTTCCCTGCACTATTTTCTGTCCATGGACTATGCATACATGCCTATAAATTCATTAGTTAATCTCTTCCTGCCTGCCCTTCCTCTGAAATACATTGAATCACATTTTAAAGTCTAAATAAGGGATTGTTTCTAAGTGGTTCCTAAAAGGTAAAAATGAGAGACTTTAAGATTACAGAGCTTAACTAAGACAAATTGTGCAACCTTTGGAGGCATGGAGATTTAATTTTTTCTTTTTTTAAAGCAATTTTTAAAGAAAAGGCTTCCTTCCACACCATTTCTAAATTACTTTCTTGGAAACATTTACCAAATGACTAGTAACTATAAGGCAAGACTACCACCATGGGAAATTATTGTTTGGGGAGACAGAACTGCATAAACCCCTTTCCTTTGGGAAAAATGGTAAAAAAGTAACATCAATTTGTGTCCAAAGCAGGTAAAAATAAGAATAAAACTCCATTTTTGTCTTTTCTGTCACTTTAATGTAAGACTGAAACAGGCTGCTACAACAATATTGAGGTTCCACAGAGAAATGCATGCTTTTGCTATAAAGACCTTTGTTGAAGCATCTGAACCTCACCTCTTAAGAAATAAATAAGGAGATTTCAAGAATTTTTGTCAGCACACAATCATTCATAACAACCTTCTAGATACTTCTTTCTTCAACCTTTTCCTTAAAGAGGAACCCCACCACCACAGAAGGATTCAAAGCTCCTGAGCTCAAAGTGATCAAATCCACAGGTCAGTATAATTAGTAGTTCAAAGCTCGGTTTAAATGTTTGAAGTATAACAAACACCAAATACTGAACAACAAATATATTACCGTTTCTATGAGGCTCATGAACGAAAACCAGACTGAAATTTTATATACTCAGTGTCTATTGGTATAAAGCCTTCATTCCTAATGCTTCTCATGGCATCACAGGTTTTAGAAATTAAACAATACATTTTCAGCATTCTATAGTAATCATCACTTTCAAAAACATCTGCATGTTACACTAACAATTTTCTGCGTAAGTATTTTGTCATATTATCAACTCTTAGTTTTATTAAATGATAAAATACAAACAGCTATAAAGACAAAACACCACAGAATTTTTAATACTCCCTTTCCCCAGCTGTCAACTGAGAGCACTTTTTTTTTTTAAGAGAAAATGATGAAAAATCAGAAATTTCGCATCCAATGTTTGACTTCAACTTTTTACTTTCTTATCGTCTTCTGGTGCCACCATATCCTAAATGAGAAGAGTAAAATTTATATTATTTTTTTAAATGTATTAGAATTGCTTATAAAATTACAACATAATACACTTCCTTGTTAGCAAATGAATGAGAGATATGCAGCAAATGGAGAATGAGTGCCCTGGTGGAACAGGGCTATGCAGGACATAATGCAGCCTCCCCAAAACAGCCCTCCCCACCATTCAATCACCATCAAGTCTACTAAACTTGCTTGCAGCAAATAACTTTTAGTCTAGTAAACCAAAGAAGATGTGTTCTATGATGGGCCAATGCGGTACGCCAATGGAGCCCAAGCCATGTCCTACTACCTCCCACAACTCCAGCAGTAAGTAGAAATAATGTGGGGGAGTTTCGGACTTTCCAATGCCCGCGCATGCACACGTGCTGACAGGTTACAAAATGACAGTGTTCCCACCTGAAAAGTCTCAATTTTTTTTCAGGTTTTCCTTTTGGTTATTTGGTAATGTTTTATGATTTTCTTCATATAAGTCCCATACATTTCTAGTTGGTATTTATGGGTTTTTACAATTTTTGTTTCCACTGAGAATGAGTTTTCTTTTGTTGGTTCCTATGTAGTTATATTTTTATATGTCCTCCCAATTACTACCTCCTCTTTTCTCCCCAAAGTAACCACTATCTTAGCATCTAACACCATAGATTAGTTTTGCTTGTTTTTAAACATGTATATTTTATGAAATCTGAATGCTGTAATGGTATTGTATACATTTTTTTGTGTCTAGTGTCTTTCTTTATATTTGGCAGACGTACCCACATTATTGGATACAACTTTATTCATTCTCACTGTTGCACAGTAATCCACATTTTCAATTAATTCACCCATCTTATTGCTAATGGGTAGTCCAAAAGGAGGCTATTATGAATAGGGATGCTCTGGACATTCCTGTACTTACCTTTTGGTGTACAAGCATATGCATTTCTGTTGCTATATATCTGACAGTGAAACTGCTGGGTCTTGAGCATGCTTATGTTCAACCAGGTAATGCCAAAAGTTTTTCAAAGTGACTGTATTCACAGCAGCACTAGGGGAATTTCACTCTTACATTTCAAAACATATTTAAATATACCAATTTCAAGAATTAATCATTGTCCTATAACTTCCTTCTCCTGAAGAAGACAAACTCAATCCACAGCACCCCATTACTGCCTCATTACCCACCAGCTCCCATTCTCTGCTAATTAGCTGGATGTTTAACTCCAAATAGTTGTTTTTCAATATCTTTGCTTTTTTGCAAAATGCCCTCTTAGCAACTGCAATAAACATAATAAAAACCTTGACAATTAAAGTATGGTTCAATTTGTATTGAGTTTTACTGAGTTTAAAAAGTTCAAATTTCTACCTAGAAAATTCCATTTTATAGCTTAAAGGATCCCTAGATATCACAGAATTAAACAGATATGGAAAGCAATATCCAGGAAGGTTTTAGTTAAAACTTAGTTATGGAAGAAGTCTAAATCAAATCCTTGTTTGATTTTTAAAGAATGTTTAAAAGTGTGAGAAAAGAATGAATTTGAATTATATTTTAATATCAGTTAATTGGGCTATTAATACTTCTGGTGGGTATACCAAATAAAACCATGATTGCTAAATGTATAATCATCTTCTTAAGTTCCAAAACTATGTCTGTATTTTACTGCTACATGATAAGAACTTCTATATTTTTGCTCTTACCTGATGCTGTTCTGGTTTTTGTCTCTGAACCAGGACATGCCGAATAGCTATTGGAGCCTCCACGAAATGGTGAGTATGAGGGGTAAGGTGAGTGGTACCATGAGTCTGAGAAGGGTGTTGCTGCTCTATAAAGACATAAAAGTGTGTCAAGTATTTTTCTTGTGCCTTTAATTTTTAAATACCTTACTATCAGAAAAAAATCATCAAGTGTTTTTTCTTTAATATTCTGATATATTAGCATTACCATGAAATAAATACTGTTTTGTATTTCTGATACTGTTATGGTCATTGCCATGGGGGGAGAAAATGAAAGGGAGAGATTGCTTTCTTTCTGAATTCACACCCAAGTAAAATCTAAACACACACTACCAAAAATACTGAGGACATTCCAAAATCCAGCTCCAAGTTTTTTCCAGCCTTACTTCTACCATTCTACCAAACCAGACTGGTAACTGTTCCCCAAATGTTGTTATCTTTCCTGCCTAATCATTTTCTCAGATGTCAAGTAAACAGTCTTTTTCCTATCTCATATTATCTACATGGATGACATAGGAAGAAGAAACACAACTAAAGAAAATAATATACACAATATTGATCAAGGCAAATATAGTATACCTTTCCCCATCTCCAAAGAACCTGATTTAATAGGGTAATGTCACCATAATTTATTTTCCTTAACAAAACCAAATCCAGTCAAACTGTAAGCAAAACACTCTCTAAAGTTGAATTAAAGATCAAGTGAGATAAATGCAAAACCTACCTATTGCTGCCAAACAAATATCCTAATATTCCTCCAGTTCCCAAGCCAGTCCAGAAACCTGGTCCTGAATTTTCATGTCCTTGCTGTCCTGTGAAAGCACTGCCAAAACCAGGAGTTGCGCCATGTGCTCCTAGAAATAAAAATGATTTATCAGTATCCTCATTTAAACAAAATATAGCCTACAGAACCAAAAATAATAGGAAATTTCAATTATTTCATCTGTACTTTTTATTATTGACAGTTATAGATGTCCCCCAAGCCCCCTTTTGCCCCCTCCCCCAGGCCTTTGCCACATTACTGTGTAGTATTCTTTACTAGTATTCAGGCCTCAACTTATAAGTTGTATTCAAAAAGTGCATTCATAAACTATAGGTTTATAACTAAGGATTTATTTTAGGATGGTGGAAGTCTTCCTATAAGGTCGCATTTGCCCTGCTTAAGATTAGCTACTACAAGATGACTCCCACTTCTCAGAGTTACTTCCTTTCTGCATTGTGAACATCTCTAAAAGCTCCAGGTGATAGCTATGCTTGAGTATCTAATGGAGGAATCCAAGTGGAGGCAGATATTTGTTTGTATCAGTTGGGAAGTCAGGTCTTAAAGGGATCAAAAAACTATTTTCTGCTCAGAGAAAGTTTGTGGTTTTTGTTGTTGTTTTTTTAAATATATCTTTATTGATTTCAGAGAGAGGAAGGGAGAGGGAGAGAGATAGAGACATCAATGATGAGAGAGTCATTGATCGGCTGCAGCCCGCAACCCAGACATGTGCCCTGACCAGGAATCGAACCCTGATCTCCTGGATCCTAGGTCGACGCTCAACCACTGAGCCATGCCCGGCTGGGCGAAAGGTTGTGTTTAAATAGATGTATAATATACATAAAGTGTGCTAATCAAATGTGTGAAGCATAATAAATTTGTACATATGTACTCATGCATGTAACTACTACTCACCTCAGTAAAACATTTCTAGCACCCAAAAGGCTTCTTCCTCATGACGATTCCCAACAGATACCCACTCACATCCGAGATAAGCATTTCTCTTTTTTCCATACTTGCACTTTATAAATGGAATCATATGGTAGGTAGTCTTTTGTCTAGTGCATCATGTCTATAAGAGTCAATCCTATTATTGTATATATCAGGTTTGGGGCTTTTTAAAGCTGATGTGTAGTTTCCATTGTGTTAAAAGAAAGAACAATTTGTCTCATTCTAATGTTTATGGACATCCTATTTCTAGTTTTTGGCTACTGTGCATAAAACTTCTATGAACATTCTTGTGCATGACTTTTTGTGTACATATGCATACATTTCTCCTATGTAGGTATCAAGGAATGGAAATGCTGGGTCATAGGGTAGACGTATTTTTAGGAGATATTGACAGTGTTCCAAAGTGTTTTACCATTCTAACTCCTACCAGCAAATTCCAGTTGACTACTTAGTAATAATGTTAGCCAATATAGTAGTTATGGTGGTTAATAATGAATTCACTATGGTTTTAATCTGCTCTTTCCAGAAGATTAATAATGTTAAACACCTTTTCATACTTTTATTGGACACCTGGAAATCATCTTTTATTATAAAATATCTGTTCAAGTCCTCTGTCCATTTTTAAAATTGGAGAGTCTATCTTTTCTTAGATTTATAGTTCTTTATATATTCTAGATACGCGCCCTGTGTTGGATATGTCTCCTATATTTTCTCCAAGTGTGTAGCTTGCCTTTTCACTCTCTTAATGTCATCTTCTGATAACCAGAAGTTCTTAATTTAAATAAAGTCTAATTTATCCATCTTTTCTTTCATGGCTGGCATTTTTTTGTGTTCTAAGAAATTTCTGCCTATCCCAAGATCATACATTTTCCTATATTTTTATCCAGAAACTTAACTGTTTTATCTTTTATGCTGGTATCTATAATACTTGAATAAATTTTTGTGTATGGTATGAGACAGAGTTCAAGGTAAACGCTTAATGCCAAATCTGATCAAGTTTTCCTGATTAACATGATTTACAATTGAATCATGCATCCTTAAAGAGTAATCACAAATGTCCTTGTAGAGAAGCAGAACAAAAGAAGTAAAAGAAGTTGAAAGTAAAAAAATAAAATGAGAAGACAAATCTGCTTGGTTACTCCATGGCAACCATTTTCTATTTCAGAAGCTGCACCAGATTCACACCTCCCATCTACCCTATTATTGCCATTGCATAGGCAAACGTACCTGAGAACCCTGGCTTAAAGCCTGGAGGAGGGGGTCCTGCCGAGTTGGTGAATCCCTGGTAATGGTGAGAATATGGAGGATACTCAGAATATGGTGGAGGAGAATCTTGACCACCGCTAAGGAACAACTTATATACTCCAAAGGCAATAGCAAGTAACACCACGATGGTAACCAGTCCACTCATGCCACCGGAATTATTTTTATAATAATCAGAGAAAGAGTTAAATCCATGTTTTCCAGACTCTCTCATTTTCTTCAGACCAAGATCCGTGTAATCTAAGTCATACTCCAAGCCACAGGAACCTCTTAGTACATACTGGTCTTCAGAGGATTCATAGCCTTCACAGCTCACCACAGTTTTTCCAAATTTGTACGCAACATCCAAATCAGTCTTACATTCCCACTGTGAAGAAAAGTAGAAATAGGTAATTAGAACCAAAATATTCTTTTTCACTTAATATATTATCATTTGGGCTATCTGTCATAAAACTGTAAAATGAAGCAAAGGAGTGATAAAATTCAGGACAATAAATATTTCTGTACTGGGAGGAGGGCAAGCTAGGGGCCTCAAAGATATTGGTGATGTTAATGTTCTACTTCTTACGCTAGGTGGTGGGTACATAAGCGTTTGTTTTCTTACTATTCCTTATTCTTTACATATAGATATAAGGAATTACTTTGAACATATTAAGTATTCCCTAATTTACAAATTTTAAGCAAATTTCCTAAACATCAACTTTTTACCATTGTGGCTCAAGATGCTTTCTTTAAAAATCTAGTGGGGTTTTTTAGATGATAAGGCTCAAAAATCAGCATCATATATGAAGATCTGGTAGCTACATATAGTATTAGAGATAATATATAACCTTCTGAGAAAAACCTCTATACACAAATTTTTAAAAACCATGGACTAACTTTTCAGAGTCCAATCCTATAAGTAATTTTCTTAATTTTTGAAAAGATACTTCAAAAAATAATCCACACTAGTCTCAAAAAAATTTCCACCTTAAAAAAAAAAGCCCAGGTTTTATTTAAATTCTATAACTATATTTTGAGCTAAACAGGTAGCATGCTTCTTTAACAGCATTTAAAGCAATATAAGATAAAATATATTTGATTTGTTCTTATTACCTTTTTGTACATTTTTCTGTAAGAGGAAGAAAAATTATCTTCTCTCAAACTTCAGATACACTATTTTATTTTTTTATAACAGCTTTATTGAGATATCACTTATATACCATACATTCACCCATTTCAATGATTTTTAGTATATTCACAGAGCTGAATATACTAAAACCATCACCCCAATCAATTTTAGAATGTTTTCGTTGCCTCCAAAAGAAATCTCAACTCCATTAGCAGTCAGTCCCTATCTTCTCCCAAATCTCCCCGCCCTAGGCAATCACCAATCTGTCTCTATGGATTTCCCTATTCTGGACATTTCATAGAAATGGCATCATACAATCAGTGGTCCTAAGTGACTGGCTTCTTTCATTGAGCACGTTTTCAAGGTTCACATATGTTGCAGCATGTATCAGTACTCCGTTCCTTTCTATGGCTGAATAATATTCCAATATATGGATATATCATATTTTGTTTATTCATTCATCAATAACAAACATTTGTTTTTACTTTTTGGCTATGATAAATGATGCTGCTGCTACAAATATTTATGTACAGGCTTTTGTATGGACATGGTTTCAATTCTCTTGGGTATATTCCTAGGAGTGAAATGGTTGGGGCATATGGTAACTCTACATTTAACCTTTTGAGGAACTGCCTGACAGTTATCCAAATTGGCTGCACCATTTATATTCCTAACAGCAATGTATGAGTTTCTCCACATCCTCACCAACATTTGTTACTATCTGCCTTTTACATTACAGCCTGTCGATTGGGTGTTAACTGGTATGTTATAGTGGTTTTGACTTGTATTTCCCTGATGGCTAATGATGAACATTTTTTCACAAGTTTGTTGGTTATTTGCATATCTTCTTTTAAGAAATGTCTAGTCAGATGTTTTGCCCACTTTTAAATTTGGTTATTTGTCTTCTTACTGAGTTGTAATAATTCTTTCTAGATACAAGTCCCCCCCATCAGATACACGATGTGCAAAAGCTTTCTCCCATTGTGTAGGCTGTTCTTTTCACTTTCTTAATGGTGTCCTTTGAAGCCCAAAAGTTTTTAATTTGGATGATACAATTTTTCTGCTTTGCTGTCCTTGTTGTTGCTACATCATTTATTTTTTAAATAATTTTATTTGGAGGAAGACGTATAAGCTTGCTGATTTAAGTAAATAAATTAAATCTCTACTGGTATTTCATGTTGTCATTTCCTTAATAGTGTACATTAAAAGTGGCTCTAATTATTACATTTAAATTTTTGGAATTGGAAGAGGCTCTCTCCTGTTACTAAACATAAGTCAATATATGATATCCCCTACACTACTTTGCTCATGCTATTCCCTTCTCTATCTCTTCAGCTCTAAAAATCTTACTCTTCCTGCCCAGCCGGGCATGGCTCAGTGGCTGAGCGTCGACCTGGGATCCAGGAGATCGGGGTTCGATTCCCAGTCAGGGCACATGCCCGGTTTGCAGGCTAGGCAGCCGATCAATGACTCTCTCATCATTGATGTTTCTATCTCTCTCGCTCCCCCTCCTTTCCTCTCTCTGAAATTAATAAAGATATGTTGAAAATAAATAAATAAAATAAAAATCTTACTCTTCCTAACACAGCACACACCTTCTTTAAGTCTTCCCCAACTCCTTCAATATTATAAATGACATGATTTCATAACACTTTGTTGGCACCTCCATGTAATTTGAGTGCTTGTCTTAGGAAGAGTGTTTACTGAGGGTTATGACTCCATCTTATTTATTTTTGTATATAATTTCATATATATTTAATGAATGACTTCACCATTTGTATCTTCTTTTCCAACAAGACTGTAAAAATAAAATGAGAGTGGGACTCTGCTTTAACCTGGAGATTCTGTGATTCAGTTAGCAATACTAGGAAAAAATGTTGTGAAGTAAGTATCACTCAGTAAATATGAACTCCATCAGAACTGCACAGACTGTGCATAAAGGGGAAATCATGCTGATGGAAGAGGAAATCATCAACAGTTCTTGCAAATGACCAGATATCTTAAATCCTTTCTGAAAGCAGACTGAATATAAAGTAGAAAAACATCAGTATTGATTTAAACTGAATTCATTTAATAAAATCTATTCCATTTCTAAATAATAATAATAAATTTTGGAACTCAAGGAGATGGCCCAACCTAAGTAGAAAATGCCAGAGTCCCAAAGACAACAAATAAAGTCCACTGAAATGCTTTTGTTCAAAAGTAGCCACCCACAGTTCTAAAAGAATTTTAAAATCAAGTGTTTAAAGCACAAAAGGGACACATGTACCCCTACTATTTACAACCTACAATTCCTTATCATGTTAACTTTATTTCTTAAGGGTAGGTTGGTATTATTTGAGGAATGACAGAAAAATGACACTCAGAAGAAATCCTCTATTCCTCCCAAGTATATGAAAAGTTTTGAAAATTTACTAACATCTTACAAGAAAATTATGGAATGAAAATTACAATAAATATTTATAAGCTTTAAAATCAATTCACTTCTTTTGGAGGATATTTCTTCCAGAGAATAAATGACTGACTTATATTTATATATTTTAGGTTAACCTGAGATTTTCTATATGTGCTTCCCAAAAACACTGAATAATGTCCCAATAAATACTTGATTAAATTAAAATCCCATTTAGACTGACATCAATGTAATGAATATTACCTGTACATCGTAACCATCCCAGCCTTTGTTCTGGCACTGTATAACTTTTGGGGTATAAGAATCACATCCAGCTGTGCCTCCAACACATCTCAACTGTGGGATAGGACCCAGCCGACGGGAGGTGGTATAGCGGTCATAGTGGAGGGTAAGAGCTTTGATATCTCGCAACAATATTCTGTCTGAAACAGTACGAACACAGATAAACACATGGTAAATATCTTGTCAAACACTGAAAATCATCCTAATAAAACTCTTGTCATATTAAATAGTCTCAAAAGGGTCTCTCTCATCTTTTGAGATGACTAAGAAAGAGAAGTTGCAACAGTCTCCCAAAGCCATACCAACAACTCAGGCCTCCTGCACAAAATTCAGGTGGTCGAACCTTTAAGGCCTCCCTTCATTTCAGGTTGGATGCCCCTAAACTGCTTCTATACTGAAATATACTATTGTACAACAACATTGACGGTTAATTAACATAGCAAAAAATACACACTGATGTTCCTAAAGCACATTTAAAGACTTAAATGTCAACAGGTGAATGAATTAATAAAATGTTGCCTTATTTACACAGTGGAATATTCTACAGTAGTTAAAATGAGTGAACTAGAGCTCATGAGTCAGACTAGAAATGGTAAAAATATTTTAAGCAAAATGCAAGTTGCAGAATGTTTAATCTGATAGCATTACATAAACCTTGAAAACAAGCAAAACAGTATTATATACTGTTAATGTCTACATAATAATGTATATAATGTATATAATGACAGTATGAAAACACACACAAGAATAATTAAACACCAAATTCAGATGAGTATCTCTGAGGAGAGATGGAGAGAAGAGGCTTTAGCTCTATTCCTAATGTTTTATTACTTTGGGGGTAGGGAAATTTGCTGACAATATAATAAAATGTGAAGATTCAATAAAAATAGGTGGTGAGTATATGGGTGTTCACTGTGTACATGTTTAAATATTTCACAACTTTAAAATTAAAAATATTTAAACTATTTTACAAATTAAAAATCACATTAACAGAGGTTTAAGAATAAAAAATCAAGACAAGGAAATTTTATGTCTGGCATTCAAGTACATAAATGAATTTTAAAGTGTTATTGGAAAATGAATAGTCTTCCTACTTATCACCCTTGGATTATGATGGCAGATGATTGTAGACTGGTTCACTCAATATCCATTTCACCCTGAAAATGGTATGCCTCCTTGCAAAGCTAAAAGGGTTTCAAAAACTCTTGCAGCTACAGTTCCCAAAAGAGGAACTCAAGCCCGGTGTGGAGGGCAGACCTTAGACTGTGCTGTGTCCTTTGGTGAGCAAGCAGTCATGGGGGCACTGGGTTTTCCTGACAGTGCTCCAGTAACCCATAATTAGCTCTGTGGCTGTCCAGAGGCTTGATGTGAGCAATGCACTTTTCATTGCTGCATGCGGCAGGCATCACTTTCTACCGTTTTGTTAGCACCTAATTCCCTATATTCAACCTGTCAAATTAGTAGAATTTGCTGTCACCCAAATTCCACTAAAGCTATAATAAATGGGTTGTTCTGATGATGTGAACTAACAAAGTCAAGTAAAACAGAAAAAGAGATGGCAACAGAATTTGGAAAGTGCAAGCCTACGGGAGGTGGTATTATGGAAGGTGAGTAGACCTAAAGGAAACTTTTTAAAATTTTTAAAAGCTATGATATCCTCAAAAATATATTTTAAAAAAATTGAGTCCCTAAAACAATCATTTTTAAAGGGAACACTCAGAAAGCAAAACAAGAGCTCTTGGAGATTAAAATCAGGACAGCTGAGAAGAAAAACTCAATAGAACTATTAAAAGCTAAAGATAAAAAACCTTCTAGAAAACAGAGCAAAAAGATGGAAAGTAGGAGGGGGGAAAAAAAGAAAATCTGTTGCTTAAATTCAAAAACATAGGCATTTCCTATCACGAAATCACAAATACAATATTGGTATACTTTCCACTAGGCATAACACCTTTACTCTTTAGAACAAACTTGAAATTTTAAATGTTTAAAAGTCATTTTTTAATTCCAATTTAACAGCACACACCATTTATTAAATGGAAACCTGTATGTATGTGATATATATACATACATGTATATATATTAATTACAAATAATACTACTGATCCCATAAAAAATTCTTTAAATAATTCTAATTACATAGTAATATAAAAGAACCTTTTTCCTAAAAATCACTTATCATGTCCCAACAAAAAAAAAAAAAACATAAGATGAAAATATTTCTTAAATTCTGGAGTACGGTGAAAATAAGAAAAGCTGGCGTAACGCAATGTACTTCCCTGTAATGGTCACAATAAGAAGAATGAGTTCGGCTCACATAAATACATGATTCTGTTAACCTACCTACAGGTTCGCTGCCCTGTGCGTTAAATGTGATTCAGAAGCTACCGGTGTCAAGGAAACTGCCAGCCATAGCAACAGGCAGCCATGACAACAGCCACCTACGACAACATCGGACAGTCATGATAACAAAGCAAGATGCGCAGGTGAGTGTCGAGCTTTCCAGCCAGACACCCGGATGAGGGCCTTAGGCCGAGAAAAGTGGAGGTGGGCAAATTCTGGGAGTCCAGGGAAGGAAGAAACGGGACGTTAATACTGAGCCGTCCCGTCCCACCAGATCCCCAACAGTCTCCACTCTCCCGTCGCACCTCTGGGAAGGGAAGACAACAGGTGCCAGGCAGGGCACAGGTGAATAATGAAGGGGATGAAAATAAGGAATTAGGGCAGAAAGGCTCAAGGGAACGAAAATGGCGGCCCGCAGGGCCTCTCAGAGCAGGCTAAAGGCGGCAGGAAGGGGCGAGTGAACACAACTCACCAGGGTCGTTCCAGCCCAGGACAGGGCCTGCGATCAGAAGCAAAAGGAGGCCGAGAAGAAGGCAGCGCCTGTCCACTCCGGGGCCACCGGCCGCGGCCATGGCGCTGGGCGAAGATGGCGCGCGGCTGCCAGGCATTCGCGGACCGGTACCGGGGCTGTGGAAATCCGCGCGCAACTGCTCAGCGACCGGGAACTCTAGGCGCGTACACGGGGTCTCGGACCAGAGCCTCTGCCGCTCGGAAGGTCGGTGCGCCAGTCCCACGTCACTGCAGCGGCTGCGCGCGGGGGAGCATGGGCGGGCGCTGCTGGCCCCGCCCCTGAGGCTCAGAGCTGCGGGGGACTGGCCCCGCCGTTGAGGGCGGGGCCAAAAGGGTGATGCAGCACTGTGGGCGGGGCCAAGGGCCGTCACCCGGGCGATTATTCGTGTAGGTGCCGCGGTTGGAGTGAAGCTGTCGCTTCGCAAGATCTAAGATGTGCGTAGCCAAGTTATGTATTTCCAAAACCTCAATAACCTTCCCCAGGGAAGCTACTGTGCCTTACTCAACTTTATGTCTTCAGCACCTCACATAGCTCCTGGCTCATTATTTATGTTGTTACTGTTTGCTACATACAGAGAATTCGAGCAAATGGTAGAATTGAAATACATTGTCTGGTTTCAGAGGTTCTGAGCCTTTACATATGTCCCTATGCGTGGTGGCAGTAAGAATTTACAAAATATCAGGAGGAGAAGTTACTGTCTAAATAACCAGCCAGAGAAAACAGTTCTAAGAGTGCAGAGGAATTATCTTTGAGGTCCAACAGGCCTAGGTTTCTCTCATTCATTCATTCAACATACATAGATTGAATGCCTAATATGTGTCGGGTACTGTTTTAGGCATGGAGGATACAGCCAAGGTCCCTGTACTCGTGGATCTTGAAGTGGGACAGGACACACAAAACTAAGTAATAAATTAAGATAAGTGCACTGATGAAAATAAAACAGGGTGATAACACAGAGGCTGGTAAGCAACTTCAACGAGGGAGGACTTTACTGAGCAAATTATTTCGAAGCTTTGAGACCTGAATGATGAGAGAGAACCAACCACAGGGAAACAGCCTTCATGGATGCAAAAGCCCAGCTTTGTGTTTTGAGGAAAATCATTCACCAATTCAACCAATACCTTTATATATTGAGCACCTACCAGTAAGTAACTCATAGTACCTGCCAGACACTGTTCCAGGCACTGGGGATACACCAGTGAATAAAACAAAATTTGGGGGTTGGGGAAGACAAGGCCAGTATAACTAAAGCAAAGTAAGACAGGTGAAGAGTGGAAAAAGAGGAGGCAGCACAATGGTGGCTTCGAGTAGGACCAAATATGACTGGAATAAAGATAATAGAGAATTCTCAGCATGTTAAGTTTGAGGTAGGCATCCAGGTAGATATGTCAAATAGATACTTGGATATACAAGTCTGAATTTCAAAGCTAAGGTAAATTTGGTAATTATGTTATCAAAATGAAGAGGGCATTTAATGCCACAGGAAGAGCTACAATGTGTAAGGAGAGAATTTAGATATAACAGTAGCAATGTGTGAATCTGATCAGATTCTGATTCAAACAAACTATAAAATAAATGTTATAAGACAATTGGAAATTTAAATGGACTCAATATATAAGGATATTAAAGAATCCTTTTTCAGGTGGGATATATGTACTATGACTATGTTATTTTTAAGAATCCTTTTAGAAATACTGAAATATTAAAGATGAAAAATTTTATCTTCAAAATAATATGGGCAAAATAATATAGTAGGTGGGGGGAAGTTGATGGGGAATATAGGTAAAACAATATTGACCATGTGTTAACTGTTAAGGGCAACTGATAGTACATGGAAGTTCATTTTACTATTTAGACTACATTTTTATATAGTTAAAGTATTCTATAATAAAGAGTTTTTTAAAATCTTTAAAAAAAACACTAAAATCTTCTCTGGGGTTTTTCTGACTTGATCTGTAAGAGTTAGCAATTCCAAATCAACAAAATTGTAGAGAGGGTTAAATCAGATATTTAAAGCACCAGCTACATAGCAGCTGCTCAATAAACAACAGCTCTCTTTCTCTCACCCCATCTCCATCTTTGTGAATTAACTTTGGAGGACAGCAAGCCATCTGAATGAAAAGTTTTGAAACTATGAAAGATTATTATATAAGAATACTTAGAGAACACTTAAAGGATATAATATTACTAATGTTTAGGATTCACTTGGCAAGCTGATGAAGAAAACTCCTGACATTCTGCCCCTTTCAGACAATTATATTTTCAAGCTTTAGTTTGCATAGGAAATCTTTAGGGTGCTTGTTAAAATTTCAGAGTCCTGGGCTCTGCCCACAAAAGTTCTGACTCAGAATGTCTGGAGTGGGACCCAGAAGTTTACACTTTTAGGAAGCATCCCAAAGAATTCTGTTGTAGGTGACCGTTGAAATACATTTGGACATGCTGTTGTTAAGGTCTCAAGTAGCTCTAGACAACATCGGTAAACCAAAACTAGTCCTTAGGGTAGTGAGTGTTTTCTTCCTAGAAACACTGTGGCTCTCATGCGAAAGTCAAAGGAGCACAAACTTAGGATTCAGTGACCATGGAAGCAAAAGTTCCCTCTAACCTAAAGAACAATCCCAGTTGCCCATAAAGGTTAAGGACAAAAGTCTGTAATGCCCAACCCATTATATTCACAAGAGGAAACTAGACTAGCATTAAACTCTGCCACTGGGGCTTTTGGAAGCTCCAAAAGGCTTCCTAAAATGTGATCTTTCCCCGGGAGCCAACCCATGAGCCTATCAGAGGAGAACCTATCACTTCCCAATACACCACCACTGACCAGCTGTCTCTCTGCTATGTTCCTTCAACCACCCGCTCTCAAGGCTGGAACACTGTGGAACAAAACAAAACGCGTTAGTGGTGACTACTTGGGATGGCTCACTCACTTCTCCAGGAATTCTGCCTCTCCCAAGATGGTTGGCGAGCAGGACGCATGTCTGCTTCAGCTTAGAAGAGGGAACTAGGTTCACAGACTGTCTAAACAGCAACATTTTCACGACATACTTTCAAGTGTGCCTTGTGGTACTGTTACCACCATCCTTAAATGAAAACTCTTTCTTCATGGTACAGAAAATGGTACAGAACTTCTTGTTGTAACTTGAATAGAAAAGAAATTCTCATATGCACCCCTGTGTTCATAGCAGCACAATTTACAATAGCTAAGATCTGGAAGCAGCCCAAGTGCCCATCAGTAGGTGAGTGGATAAAAAAGCTGTGGGACATTCACACCATAGAATACTACGCAGCTGTAAAGAAAGTCCTTTTACCCTTTGGGACAGTATGGATGGACCTGGAGAACATTATGCTAAGTGAAATAAGCCAGAGAGAGAAAGACAAACATCACATGACCTCACTTATGCGTGGAATCTGAAGAACCTAATAAACTGATGAACAGAATAGATTCAAGGACATGGAAGCATGGATCAGACTGACTAATGTCAGAGGGATGGAGGAGGGTGGGTGGGTGGAGGGGGAGAGAGTAACCAAAAAATTTATATGCATATATGCACAACCCCAGGACAAGGACAAGGTGTGGTAAGGGACTGGGGAGGGAGGTGGGACGGGGTGGAACGGGTCATTGGGGAGAAAAAAGGACATCTGTAATATTTTAAACAAAAAGAAAGAAAAAAAAGAAATTCTCCACAGGACACTTTTAGGTTTATTTAGGGCACTACGCTTCAAAAAGTGACCTTTTATTTTTATTTTTTTTAAATATATTTTTATTGATTTCAGAGAGAGGAAGGGAGAGGGAGAGAGAGAGAAACATCCATGATGAGAGAGTCATTGATCGGCTGTCTCCTGCGCACCCGGACTGGGGATCGAGCCTGCAACCCAGGCATGTGCCCTGACCGGGAATTGAACCCCGATCCCCAGGATCCTAGGCCGACGCTCAACCGCTGAGCCACACCGGGTAAAACGTGTATTTTTTAAAAGCTCCCCCGCGGAGCAGTGGCGGGAAGCAGGGCAGACGGCGCCTGCAGCGCTCCTCTTGAGGCATGCTGGAAAACCTCTTCTCGCCCTTCGTTCAACACGGTCCTCTAGGCCAGTTTATCTTAGTTTGACGACGGAAAAGATTTAAATTCAAATCTTACGTCACCCACCTCTTTTTTTCTGAGCGGTACCACTGCTCAACGGGGGGGGGGGCT